TCTTATTTTCAAGGAAACATGGTAATTGCTAAGTCATGGAAGAAGCCCAAGTGGCCATCCACCCACAAATTCATCAATAAATTGTGGTATATGTATACCATGGAATATTATGCAGCCTTAAAGAAAGATGGAGACTTTACTTCCTTCATGTTTATATGGATGGAGCTGAAACATATTCTTCTTAGCAAAGTATCTCAAGAATGGAAGAAAAGTATCCAATGTACTCAGTCCTACTATAAAACTAATTTATAGCTTTCATATGAAAGCTATAACCCAATTATAGCCCAAGAATATGAGGAAAGGGGAGAGGGAGGGGAAGGGGAGGCTGGGTGGAAGGAGGATAAATGGTGGGACCACACTTACGGTGCATCTTATAAGGGTACATGTGAAACTTACTAAGTGTAGAATATAAATGTTTTAACACAATAACTAAGAAAATGCCATGAAGGCTATGTTAACCAGTTTGGTGAAAATATTTCAGATTGTATATAAAACCAGCACATTGTACCCCATGACTGCATTAATGTACACAGCAATGATTTAATTAAAAAAAAAAAAAGGCAGGAAAAATTAGTAGCAGGAAGTAGGAAAATACTGAGAACAGAAAAATGCTGGCTGACTTCTGTGGTCTTACTCAGCTGCTTGCTGCACCAGCTGTGTACCAGGCGGGCCTGTGAGGAAGACTCAGGCTGCCCTCTTGACAGGTGAAGTGCAGGAAGCAGCAGGGCATGGGGTGTGGCGGGCAGGCAGGCACTCCTATTAAGTGGGCTGGTGAGACTTTCTCCACATTGGCCCAGCGTTCGCAAAGGCCTTACCTTGCAGGTAAACTTAACAGGTGGCCTTCTACATATGTCACCAACCTGACTGACCTTCTCTCTTCAGACTCTATATATGGGAGCTCCCTTTCTGCTGTCTCTCCTCCCTCCCTCTCTTTCCCTTGGCCTGGACTGGCTTGGCTGCTAACTCTAAGAGTGTTTGAAGGTTTGCTCTTGTGTATAAAGTGTAAAATGTGTGCCCACCTTAATAAATTCTAGGCTCAGCGCCTGTGGCTCAAGTGGCTAAGGCGCCAGCTACGTATACCCAAGGTGGCGGGTTCGAATCCAGCCCGGGCTGCCAAACAATAACGACGGCTGCAACCAAAAAATAGCCAGGCGTTGTGGCGGGCGTCTGTAGTCCCAACTACTTGGGAGGTGGAGGCAGGAGACTCGCTTGAGCTCAGGAGTTGGAGGTTGCTGTGAGCTATGATGCCACGGTACTCTACCCAGGGGGACAGCCTGTGGCTCATGTCTCAAAATAAATAAATTCTAATAGGACATAAATACAGGAAGTAAAAGCTGAAAGTTCATCTACCAAGCAACCTAGTCCTACCGCTTTGTGGATTTAGGTCTTCTACATAGCAGTGTAGAGTTTTACTTTTAAATGGGTTCAAACTGGAGTTGATTTCCTGTATCTTGATTCCTTCCAGTGCCTCAAATATGTTTCTACTCTATCATGGAACAGACCTTGCTATGAGACTCCATACAGTCTGCCTCCATCTATGTCAGAAACACAACACTAGCTCCAGTATCTGAAAATGTCTGTCAACTTCTGACCCTAAAAATATACTCTTATGTAACAACTCTCATTTATCTTCTCATCAAAGGAGGTTACTCCCTAGCCATTTACTAAGCCCAGGTACTGTCACTGTAAGTCTGAGCAGTTTGTTTTTCATTCCAGTTGAGTAAGAGGTCTGGCAATCTGAGGCATTTTCTGCTCACAGCAGACTGCCACAGGGTAACTGGTGGTCACTATGACTGAGAGGAATCAAATGCTTTCTTCAGGGCACTGCTTCTGCCTTGCAGACCCAGCACTCCTGAAGCTTCACTGGCCAGCACCTTCAGTGTGTACACATACAGCTTTCCCTCAGGTGTCCCGGGGGAGGATCAGGTGGGGCTCTTCCCAGTCACATACCACCCAGAAGAACTGCACCCATGATAATGTAGGCCTCATTATCCTCATTGACACAAGCAGAGCATGTCTGAACATGACTGGGAGTGTTTCCATACTCCTGTTAAGGGGTAGAAGAAAGGAAAGGGTTGAATAAAGTTAAAAGTGAATGAAGGGGATTGCCTGAGCTCGGGAGCTTGAGACCACCCTGAGTAAGAGCGAGACCCTGTCTCTACTAACTATAGAAAAACTAACCAAGCATTGTTGCGGACGCCTGTAGTCCTAGCTGCTTAGGAGGCTGAGGCAACAGGATCCCTTGTGTCCAAGAGTTTGAGGTTGCTTTGATGTCATGGCACGGTACCCAGAGCAATAGAGTGAGATTCTGTCTCAAAAAAAAAAAAAGGCGGGACTAGAAAGGTAGACAACTATAAAGGAACAGTGTTCAGAACAGTGCCCCTTTCTGTGATGCTGGGACAAAAGGTGGGACTAGGTGAGGGTAGGAGCCTGGGCTGGGAAACATGGGCAGGTCTAAACAGCTACTGTCACAGAGCCTAGACCAGGTCAAGTGTTTGATCTGATGTCATCCAGGGACAGAAATAGGGTACAGTGGAATGCAGAGGCCAGAGGGGTGACGAGGTTGAACACTGCTCTTGGCTCTTCCCTAGCTCTCCTGTACTCCTACAGTGCCCACCAGGACACCTGTGCAGGGAACACTGGCCCTCTGGGTTGAAGGAAAACTACTTTCCAAACTGCCACTGTGGAGACAGTCCAGGGACCCTGGAAAGACAGATCAGTCCACAGTCAGTCAGAAGATCCTACTTCCAGGCCCAGCATGGGTGCCAAAAAGCAAAAAGGGCCAACATTTAAAGACAGAAGTTAACAACTTGTGAGTTAAAATAAGATACATACATATTTGAACATTAAAAGTTATTTTAATTCGATAAATAAAAAATTCTCTACTTAAATAATAGTTCATCTGGGTCTTCCTGTATAATACAAAATTCTTCCATAGGAGTCTGATGACTTTGAGGCCAACAACTCTTCTCACATGTGTACACTAGAACTGTTCCAAATTCCACAGAGACACCTGAAAAATATAACATATGCAGAGTTTCAGCAGAGAAAGTGACATACGCTCAAAACGTGCCTACTCAGTAGATGGCACAGACTCTGGGGCAAGACTGCCAGGGTGTAAATGCCAGTTCTACCACCTTGAGCAAGTTACTTCACTTCTCTGTGATACAGAGACAGTGAGATTGGGAGGAGGACTAAATGACCTAATATTATGCATATAAAATACTTGGAACATAGCCTGGCACATTTTAAGTGTTTACTGTAAAACAAAGAGGTTGAGTAATTAGGTACTAGAAGTGAAGGAGAAAGATGGCTCAACAGTATGTATCAGGATAAATGATATTGCTGAACGGAGTGATTCTACCTGAGAAGCTGAAAAAATCAGGTCAAGCAGAGACAGTGTTTACCACTTTCAGATGCAACACTGTCATAGTCTACCTTATGAGTTAACATTGTTGAAGAAGGTGGCTTCTTAGTGGTTCACACCTATAATCCTAGAACTTGGGAGGTCTAGGTGGGTGGATTGCCTGCGCTCACAGGGTGCAGACCAGCCTGAGCCAGAGCGAAACCTCCTCTCTAAAAACTAGCAAGGCTTTGTGGCAGGCGCCCAGTAGTCCCAGCTACTCAGCAGGCTGAGACAAGAGAATCAGTTGAGCCTAAGAGTTTGAGGTTACTATGAGTTATGACACCCTGGTAACTCTACTGAGGGCAACAAAATGGGACTCTGTCTCAAAAAAAAAAAAAAAAATTGTTCAAGAAAAGCAGATTTATTCAAAATAAGCAGGAAAATACTTTCAAATTAAACAAAAATTTCAACACATCTTCATTACGACTATCTAGACTACTATATTTAATGTTGAAAATCCACCCTAAAATATATCACATAATGGAACACACTAAATAAAATAAAGTAAATCCTAAGAGTTTATAGAAACTTATCGATAAATAGAGCCACCAAAAAACGACACCAAGAAAACATGAACAATAAGAACTGCTGAGGCCGGGTGCAGTGGCTCATGCTTGTAACTGGAGCACTCTGGGAGGCCAAGGCAGGAGGATCCCTTGAGCTTGGGAGTTTGAGATCAGTCTGAGCAAGAATGAGACCCCTTTCTCTACTAAAAATAGAAAAATAGGCCGTGCGTTGTGGCAGGCACTCAGTTGTACCTACTCAGGAAGCTGAGGCAGGAAGATCCTAGAATGTTGACAGTTGCTATGAGCCAGGCTGACACCACAAACTCAAATCAATAAAGGGCTTCTGGCTCGGCGCCTGTGGCTCAAGCGGCTAAGGTGCCAACCACATACACCTAAGGTGGCGGGTTCAAATCCCCAGCCCTGGCCCGCCAAACAACAATGATGGCTGCAACCAAAAAATAGCCAGGCGTTGTGGCGGGCGCCTGTAGTCCCAGCTACGTGGGAGGCTGAGGCAGGAGACTCGCTTGAGCCCAGGAGTTGGAGGTTGCTGTGAGCATGATGCCATGGCACTCTACCCAGGGGGATAGCTTGAGTCCGCCCCAAAAAAAAAAAAAAAGGGCTTCTTACCTAAATTAGCACTCTTGAGCATGCTGACCAATGCTGGCATAAGCTGAAACTCAAATGTCCTTTGGCCTCCACAGTGGCTGCAGGCTGGAAGCTCAGTGACTTCTGACATAGGACAGGTCAGAAAGAGTGGCTCTCCACTCCAGGAATACCTGGGGTGGAGAAACAAAGCATGCTCAGTCGGAGCCACACACACATCACATTCCAGCATCCAAGGCCATGCTTTGCAACCTTTCTTCCTCTCTTGCAGAGCACCAGGAGCAAAACAACAAAGCCAAAATTCCAGCAGCGTGGCTGCAGAGGCATAGCAAGCTGTCTGCAAGTCTTCTCAATGCTCAATTCAAAGTCACACAGGCACTAAAGCCAATGTTGAAGTGAATCTATGTAAAGGTTTTGTTCAGACTGAGCTCAAATGCAGATTAAATGGACTCAGACCCTCACCCTACTAGACTTAAAGAGGAAGGGCCATGCCCTTGCAAGGAGTATTCACACTTCAGTATCTACTATTATTCAACATTCAATTTCTTTTTTTTTTTTTCTTTTGGCTGTGGCTGGGTTTGAACCCGCCTCCAGCATATGGGGCTGGCACCCTACTCCTTTGAGCCACAGGCACCGCCCAATTCAACATTCAATTTCTGATAAGTAATTTAAAATACCAGATATGCAAAGAAGGAAAATTTAACCCATAAAGAAAGTTAATGGGCTCGGTGCCTGTGGCTCAAGCAGCTAAGGCGCCAGGCAAATACACCTGAGCTGGCAGGTTCGAATCCAGCCTGGGCCCGCCAAACAATGACAGCTGCAACCAAAAAATAGCTGGGCATTGTGATGGGTGCCTGTGGTCCCAGCTACTTGGGAGGCTAAAGCAGGAGAATCGCTTGAGCCCAGGAGTTGGAGGTTACTGTGAGCTGTGATGCTAGGGCACTCTACCCAGGGTGACAGCTTGAGGCTCTGTCTCAAAAAAAAAAAGTAAGTTAATGCAGGGGGGTGCCTGTGCTCAGTGGGTAGGGTGCCAGCTGGCCCTATATACCAAGGGTGGCGGGTTCAAACCCAGCCCCAGCCAAACTGCAACAAAAAAATAGCTGGGCGTTGTGGCAGGCACCTGTGATCCCAGCTACTTGGGAGGCTGAGGCAAGAGAATCGCCTAAGCCCGGGAGTTAGAGGTTAGTGTGAGCTGTGTGATGCCAAGACACTCTGCCAAGGGTAATAAAGAGAGACTCTATTTCAACCAAAAGAAAAAGAAAAAAAGGAAGAAAGTTAATACAAGGACACTCAAGGCCAAGATGATGGATGTATCACCAAAACTTCATGTAAAGGAAAATCTAGTGGAGGCCTGGCGAGGTGGCACATGCCTGTAATCCTAGCACTCTAGGAGGCGGAGGACAGTAGACTGCTTGTGAGCTCACAGGTTCGAGACCACCCTGAACAAAGTGAGACCCCATCTATACTCTAAAAATAGCTAGGCATTGTGGCAGGCACTTGTAATCCCAGCTACTTGAGGGTGAGGCAAGAGAATTGCTTAAAGCTTGGCACCTATAGCTCAGCAGCTTGGGTGTCAGCCACATAAACAGGAGCCAGCAGATTCAAATCCAGCCCAGGCCTGCCAAATAACAACTACAGCCAAAAAATAGCTGGGCATTGTGGTGGGCGTGTATAGTCCTAGATACTTGGGAGGCTGAGGCAAGTGAATCACTTAAGCCGAAGGGTTTGGGGTTGCTGTGATGCCATGGCACTCTACTGACGGTGACATAGTAAGACTCTGTCTCCAAAAAAA